AATTGATGCGCAAAGACGTAGAATATATTCCAGAGACCAACCAAGTCTATGAGCTAACTCAGCAGTCTCAAGGCACCATGAGACCTGAATCTGTCCTTGACTATGGTGGGGGCGACTTTATGCAGGCTCCTGGCTTTGTCAAAGTGCTAGACAGGATCACCATGATCATTATCATCATGAGAGGCATGATCACAGGCACCTGGTCACCTCCAAGGTGATCCTTAGGACTACAGAGCCCCACTGGGTAGCCATAAAACATAGAAGCTGTGTGACAGAGGGACATAGAAATAGCAACCTTAGAGAGCAAAAGTGGGGTGACTAAAGGAATCAGGGGGAGGTGGCAGTCAAAAGCAAGTCCCTGGAGAGGCATTGCAGGTAGCACAGCTTGTGCAGTTAGCAACAGGAAACAACTCAGATGACTCCAGCTAACCAACAGAGGTCAGGGTCCAGGGTGTCCACCTAGTCCAATGTAGCTGAGTCATCTACGGTCAGACCCTTCCATGGCCACAAGTCCTTAAAGGGGATTCTGAGGCATAAGCAGGTCTGTCTTTGGCCAGGTAGAGCCAAAGTGCTTCAATACAGGACAAGGATGGTCTTTGTGCATATGCCACCTCAAAAATCATCAAATCTGGCCAGGCGCAGTGGCGCATACCTGTAATCCCAGCACTTTGGGAGGCCGAGGTGGGTGGATCACCTGAGGTTAGGAGTTTGAGAACAGCCTGGCCAACATGGTGAAACCCCATCTCTACAAAAAAATACAAAAATTAGCCGGATGTGGTGGCGGGCACCTGTAATCCCAACTACTTGGGAGGCTGAGGCTGGAGAATCACTTGAATGTGGGAGGCGGAGGTTGCAGTGAGCCAAGATCGCACCATTGCACTCCAGCCTGGGCAACAAGAGCAAAACTCCAACTCAAAGAAAAAAAAAATCATAAAATGAAAATGTTGCAGGAGTGGTACGACACAGTGCGAGTCAAGGGCTCCTGGAGCATTGTTTCCTTTCAAGGTCAGGGGGCTTCTTATGCAAAATCCACACCTCTGTTACTATGAAAAAAGAACATTTTTTTTCTACATCAACCCAGAGATAATGATTAATTATAAAGAAAGAATGAATAAGGCTATGAACTGATTCCTTATGAATCCAGGTTTCTTCCTACATGAGGACTCTAGAAATTTTATCTTAGATACTTCCATTTTGCAGATAAGGAAACCATAGTTAAGATATATTTAAATAGCTTTTCTTTGATATGAGTGAAGTACTAGCGAGGTTTGATTCTAGTTTCATTCACTTAAAAACATTATCCAAGTGCAATATAAAGGGTGTTTATTTTAATTGATAAGACAGTGGTGACATGGCAGAAAATGGATACATTTGCTTTAAAACAATAAAATGAGATTCCCCTTTCTAAAGAAAATGTTCAAAATTGCCTAAACTTAAATATAATACAGAACTCAAAAGAATTCCTTTAGACCCTGTACTATATAGGAAATAAATTCTATGACAGGTAATAATAAAATAATCTATTGGTCTAAGTCAACACTTCATGTGTTGCAGGCAAGTTGAGTCTCTCAGGCTCTATAATGGCCATTCCAAGACCCAGAACCATGTAGAATGTTAATTGAGGACCTTCTCCCTTTGCAACACTTCTACATTTAGTCCATGTTTGAATCTAAATCAGAGGATTTTAAAGTGTGGTTCCAGGACTGGCAGCCTCAACATTACCAGCACCATGAGGCAATTTGTTAGACAAGCAAATTCTTGGGTCACTATTGAATCAGAAACTCTACGGACAGGACCTGGGAACTTGATTTAACAAGCTTTCTAGATGATTCTGATGCACCCTGCTCTAACCATTGAGAACTACTGCTGTAAACATTGCGATGGCAAAGTCTCAGGCCCAACAAGGCCCACAGTATGACTCTCAGACCCTGGTGGTGAACATGCTTGAATGAGATTGGCCTGTGAAAATGAAATCTGGCTCCATGTTGCTGAGGTCAATGCAGTGTGTGCATGAACACATTTCCATGGAGATGCAAACCATTAATGCCAAGATAGTTTACTACTAATGAAACAACATTAGAGTGTCTTAGTCCATTTTGTGCTGCTATACTAGAATATGACAGATTGGGCAATTTACAACGAAAAGAAATTTATTTCTCACAGTTCTGGGGGCTCAGAAGTCCAAGATTGAATGGCTGGCATCTGGTGAGGGCCATCTTGCTGCATCATCTTATGGCATAAGACAAGAGGGCCAGAGAAAGCGAGAGAGAGAAAAGGTGGCTGAACGTATCCTTTTATAAGGAACCTACTCCTGCAATAAAGGCATTAGTCCATTCATGAAGGCAGAGCCCTCATGACCTAATTGCTTCTCATTAGGCCCCACCTCCCAACACTGTTGCATTGAGTATTATGTTTCCAACACATGAACTTTGGGGGACACTCGAACCATAGCATTCTGCTCTGGCTCCAAATTCATGTTTTTCTCACACATAAAATACATTCATTCCGTCCCAATTGCCCCAAATTCCTAACTTGTTCTGGTGAAAGTCTAGGGTCTCATCTAAATCAGATATGGGTGAGACTCAAGGCATAATTCATCCTGAGGCAAATTCCCCTCTAGCTGTGAGCCTGTGAAATTAACAAGTTCTCTTCCTCCAAAATACAATGATAGGTCAGGCAGAGGATAGACATTCCCATTCCAAAAGGGAGAAATAGGCAAGAAGAAAGGAGTAACAGGCCCCAAACAAGTCTAATACTCGACAAGGTAAACAATACTAAATCCTAAGACTTGAGGATAATCTTCTTTGACTCCATGTCCTACTTTCTGGGCATACTGATATAGGGTTTGGAACCCTGAGGCCTCAGGAACAGCCTTGCCCCCATGGCTTTGCTAGGCTTAGCCCACATAATTCTCACAGGTTGGAATCTCATGTCCATATCTCCTAGGCTCGAGTTGCATGCTGCATGCCCATAGCTCTCCTGGGCTGGAGTTGCATGCTTGTAGTTGTATAGTTCTAGGACTTGGGGGCATCCCCACCTTGAAGGACTCCCCTAGGCCTAGTGAGGACTCTCTGTTATGGCCGTGACTCCACATTTCTGCTGGGCATTGACCTCCTAGGCGCTCTCTGTGGCAGCTCTACCCCAAGACAAATCTTTGCCTAGGCCCTCTGGTTGTCCGCAACATCCTTTGAAATCTAAGTGGAGGCTGCCATGGCCTTACAGCATGTGCCTACAGAATTAGCGCCACCAAAGTTTATAGCTTGTACCTTCCAGAGCAGCAGGTTGAGCTGCACCTGGGCTCCCTGGAGCCACAGCTGAAGCAGCCAAGGAGAGTGATGCTGGAATTCAAGGAGCAGAGTCCTGAGGTGGCTCTGCTCACTGGTCCTGTGTAGAGCACACTGGGGAGTCACCCCAAACCATTCTGCTCTCCTGGAGCCCTGGGCCTGTGATGAGAGAGGCAGCCTTGAAGGTCACTGAAATGCCTTCAGGGTCATTTTCCTGTTGTCTTGATTACTTGCACCTGGCTTCCTTCTGGCTGTGTTAATCCCCTTTATCAAAGGGTCGCTTGGCTGCACCCTTGCAAACCTTTTTATTCTTTACGTAGCCAGGCTGTGAGTTTTGCAAATTTTATATTGCTTCTCTTTTACTTATAAATTCCATCTTTAAATCATTTATCTCTTCTTTCATTTTACTATATGCAGTTAAAAGCAGCCATGCAGGTCCTTCAATATATTGCTTAGAAATTTCTTTCACCAGCTATCCTGGTTCATTGCTCTTAAATCTGCCTTCCATAAAGCCCTCCAGCATGGACACAGTTAAGCCAAGTTCTTTCTGACTTTATAATGAGGATGGCCATTACTTCAGTTTCCGATACCTTGTTCCTCATTTCTGTCTGACACCTCAGGAGAATGGCTTTTACTGTTCATATTTTTACTAATATTCGGACTATGACCACTTAAGTAATCTCTAAAAAGTTTCAGCCTTTCTCTATAGTTCTTTTCTTCCTCTGAGCCCTAACCAGACTCGTCTTTCATACTCCATTGTTACAGCAAGACCAGCTGTTTCTAGCTTGTTCCTTCAAACTCTTCCAGCCTCTGCCCAATTACACAGTTCCAAAGCTGCTTCCCCATTTTCAGGCATTTGTTATAGTAACAGACCCACTTCTTGGTACCAATTTTCTTTCTTAGTCTGTTTTGTGCTGCTATAACAGAATACTACAGACTGGGTAATTTATAATAAACAGCAATGTATTGCCTCATGGTCTGGAGGCTGGAAAGTACAAGACAGAGGGGTTTGCATCTTGCAAGGGACTTCTTGCTGTGTCATCTCACGGCAGAAGGTGAGAGGGAAGGAGAGAATGAGAGAGAAAATGGGCCCACATTCATATTTTTATAATAAACCCACTCCCACAAAATCTATGGCATTAATCTATTCACAAGGGCAGAGCCCTTATGGCCAAATCACCTCTTATTAGGCCCCACCTCCCAGCACTGTTGCATTGGGGATTACATCTCCAACACAAGAACTTTGGGGGATACCTTCAAACCACAGCAGACAGCCTAAACCATTTCTTTTGGCTATTCCTAATCCTTCTTTTCCTGGACTATTGGCAGACGTTGTTCATGCATGAAAGGAAAACTGGTTTACTTAAACCAGGATTTCTCAGTCTTGGCAACATTGACATTTTAGGCCAGAAAATTTTTGTTGTAGGGAGCTGTTCTGCATTGGAGGATGTTTACCAGCATCCCTGGCCTCTATCCACCAGGTGCCAGTAGCAACTCCCCTCCCCATCTACACCCCCCACAAGTCTTGACAGTCAAAAATGTTTCCAGACATTGCCAAATGTCTCCTGGTAGTAAAATTGCAGCTGGTTGAGAACCACTGACTTAAACCAAGGCAGTTCCTTCAAAGTGGTAACCAAGGGAGAATGTGTCCTGGAAAAAAACAATCAAGCTGATACAAGCTGGAGCAGGCTCCCAGCAGCTACAGGGGTGACTCACATTGTAGGATCGACCATGCCTCTGTCTCCACTGAACCAGCACTATCTGGGCAATGACCAGAATGCAGAGGAAGATCAAGATCATTTCCACGTGCATGGATTCGTGGCCCCGGTGCATCTTGTACATCCTCTCCTGCTGCAGGCTGGAACCGGCAAATGAGGTCATCTGAAAAAGCCCTCAACCTTGTGCATTTAGCAAAAAAAAAAAACAAAAACCAACAACAAAAAAAAACAACAACAAACAAAAACAAAACAAAACAAAAAAACGGGTTTGGCTCACAAAAAGCAACAGGGGGTTTCAAAGGTAAGAGTTGGTAAGTTTTGATTGTAAAGTTTTTCTTGTTTTCTTCCCTTTCCCTAGATCTGGAGAAGGAGCAGCTGGGAGGAGGAGCCTGACTCTCTTAGTAAAACCAGTTCCTTTGCTTTCCCATGTGGTTGGCCTCAGCCTTGTCTTTTAAGTTAAGTGATGGGGCTAAAAAAACTAATGAGCCCCAGGAAGACCTGGGTTCCAGTCCCTGATCTGCCATTTCATTGCCTCACAACCTTGGGGAAGTCATTTATCCTCTCTGAGCCTCAGTTTCCTCATTTGCAAATTTCAAATAACCATCCTTCTGTAACTGACAAGGTTGTTGTAAGACTATAAAGCACATGTTATTGTATTTGTATCTACATGAGGAATAATTATTATTGAGCTGCATCATATGAAACGTCAATTTTTGAAAGTCAAAAACAGTCCAATGTTGGTAATTTTAAATCATTTGCTACTATTTCAAGTAAAAGGATACCCTGCAGATGGTGCTTATGCCAGAGGAGAGAATATTATCCATGGGGCCATGGAAAGCTTTTGAATGAGTTGTATAAATTGTTACAGAACTATTATATAGAGAAAGAATAGGCTTAAGTATTATCTTAGACACGCACAAACATTCCTGTGATGGCTGAACGTTACCGTTTTAGTTGGATGCTTAGTTTTGCACAATTGTAGAGAAAATCAACAAAATACTTTGTCACCTGGTTTAACGTTCTGGAGTAGCCTCGATGAGAACCTAGAGCAGTGGTTCTTGACCTTGTCTGTAAGTTAGGAATCACTAGGAAGCTTTAAAAAAAACCTTAACCCCCCATATGCAGATCAATTAGATGACCATTTCTGGGTGTTAGGGGGCTGAACTGCACCCTCTCGAAATTCATACACTGATGTCCTGGTCCCCTGTACTTCAACACACCAACCCAAACCTGCCAGCACTTTAATCTTGGACTTTCAGCCTCCAGAACTGCGAGAAAATAAATTCCTGATTTTTAAGCCACCTATTCTGTGGTATTTTGTTATGGTATTCCTAGCAAAGTAATACAGATTTGCAGGATGGGATATGACATCAGGAATTTTTCAGGCATCCCATGTGATTTTAAGGGGCAGCCAAGATTGAGAACCATGAGCCTAGAGGAAGAGAAAGAGGCCCAAGGTCAAGATGAGTGAACACGGGGAAAAATTATGAATGCTGTCAGTTACTTTCTGAATACTGGTTATCATTACCATTCATCCCTAGTGTGGCACCATCAGTCACAAAATCTCTTAAATTTTCCACTTACATCTGGTTACAGGATGCAGTTAGCTAGTGTACCACCCAGAAAACACCGCAGGTAACAGTCTGTGCCATGAGATAGTGACCTTTTAAAGGCACTTGATGGGTATGCGGGTTGAGTTCTCTTCCTTTGCCAGCATTTCTACAGCTACTCCAAAGAGCAGTGAATGCCTCAGAAAAGGGTCTCATCCAAATCCCAAGGGTGCCCCCTGCTGGAAAAGGTGTGGAAATCAGCCCACAGAGCCCAGTAAATACTCCTGCTGAAGTTCAGTTTCTTTGAGAGGGATTCTCAGAATGTCAGTGCTGGAAGTTACCATAGATGGAATGAATCTCCTTCATTTATCAAATGACGAAGCTGAAATCCATATTGGGTAAGCAACTTGAATAAAATTACATGGCTCTTAGTCTCTCTATTGGAAGCTGAGCTCAGGAGACAAGAATGATTTCTAGAAGCTCATTTAAACAAACAAACAAACAAAAAACCGAACTTGTTCCCCTGAAGAAATGGGAAGAAAAATGAAAAACTACAAGTGCTTAGTTGTGGTTTATACAGCTCCAAATCTAAAATAGCTTTTTAATATTCTATATAATTAACAGACTTTGAACTTAGGGCATATAGATAAAAGAGTGACTTCATCATCAGTCTAAAATAGCACTTGCATAGATATAAAATACACTTTATGAGATTATTAATCTATTATATCAGATTAATCTATTATAAAAATGCATCTCAAATTGGTTAGCCTATGTTGAAGTACTTTGAAAAGTATATATTGGTGTACAAATGTAGTATTTTCTTTTTTGAGTAGGAATGCATCCAAAATTGACTCCTGTAATACAAAAAAGGAGGAGCTTTTCATTCTTATTTCACTTCATGTGGCGCTCACAGGGCCCAATGGCCCTACAGTATGTACCAGAACACAGGGGCAATGGTGTAGGAACAAAACCAGTGTATCTTGTGCCTAAAATAAATAGTAACTTGACACAGCCATATTTTGAAGGATATATTAATCCAGTTTTGTGGGACTGCATGATCTTTTCCTACAGATCATGCTGTAGAAAATAGATGAAATCCATGTGTTTGGTCTATAGTATTTGTGCATCCTACCCCATCTTCTCTATCCTGGAAAATTTACAAATAAAATTATGACTTCATTCAATTTCTCAACTGTTAAGATAAAAATCTAATTTTTAGCAAAACAACTCTTAAAAAATACTAATTACTTACTTCCACGCATCTTCTGCAGAAAGCTTTGTATGAGAGATCTGAAAAACACAAAAAGGGCCCTTATCAAAAAACATCCTTGTTTTCTTGTTTTTTCTGTTAAAACCAAGACCATGTTGAAACCCAGACCATGAAAAATAACAGCATCACATAGTATTTGAATAATTTGTGATAAAAGTCCTAGTAAAATAATTTGCTTACAGAACTAAAACAACACGAAACAAACAAACAAACAAAGAATAATCAGGTCACTATTAATAAATATTTGATCCTGTTCCTGGATCAGAGAATCAGATGAGGCTCCATTTCAATAGTTCTGTTTTGGCAAATCAGCCAAAGTTACAGAGAGTGGTCTCCCAACAGGCCATGCTACTCTGGCTTCTAGGATATGAAGTGTGAGTCTGAGCATCCCTAAAAAACATCTGTTTTGCTGATATCTTAAATGATTGCATTGAGTAAGTATCTCCAATCTCAGTGAGTAAATATCATTTCCAAGTTCAAAGTTTCAGAGAGAGAGCTGACCAGAGGCTCCGCTGATTTGGAGCATTCTTACATTCTCCTGCTAAGAAGGCATCGTTACTGACCCCAGGAAAGGGAGTAATCTGGGCTTGTTGCCTTACAAATTGAGCTGGAAAGCACAGAGATCATCTCCAGAACTGTGCTTTCTGGATGACCTACAGAGTCCACCTATGGACTACCTTTTCTAGATTATTGCTAACCCACTACATTTGGTCATTTGACACCTTTAAGGCCAATCATTGGAAAGACATAATCGTGTAACTTTGAGGGAGAGCACAGAAGAGCAGACAGCCAATGTTTTTGCCCCCAAAGTAGAACTTAGCAGAAAGGGACCTGTGGAACAAAGGAGGAGATTCATGCAGCTTGATTACCTGAGGCTTGCTTTATTCTTGAAACTCAACACTTGAGCCCAGCTGTTGTGACCTCCATTTGAATACTAGGGACCCACCTGGTGGGATCACCTGGGGACAGAGAGCCATTGAGAAGTTGCCAGTATTATCTCCTGTGTCATCCCCTTCTTCTTTCCTGGCATCACCCAGAAAGGTCCTGGCATTGTGCAAATACTGCCTAAACTTATACTTTTCTATTTCATCCAAAGCTTTGTTCTCTCTTAAATGTGTGAAAGAAAATCTTAAAAGTACTAGAAGAAAACATGAGTAAACATGTTTATAATTCTGCAGTGGAAAAGGCATTTTTAAGTATAATGTAGAGCCCAGAAATTATAAAGTTAAAAAAATGACAGATTTTGAGGACATTTAAAATAAAATGCATTATAGTCCTCAATATTTGAAAGACAAATTGAACTGGGGAAAGCATAACATGTGAGGGGCAAAAAGCTAATAAGCATATGTGAAAAGGGCTTTTATAATATAATAAAAAAGAGACAGATTGTCCAAAAGGGCGAAGTACATAAATGAGAAATTCACGAATTGAGATATACAAATGACCAATTTACGGAAAGGTGTTTAAACTCACTAGTAATAACTGTGTTTAAAAAAAAAAAGTAAAAATGAGGTCTTTTATTGAAACATGTTAAATTAAAAAAGTGCACTTACCTCCTCTCCCTCCCCAAACACCACTAGAACAATAGCAAAAGGATATAAGCCTCCAAGTCCAAAGAGAATGAGAGAGGAGTCCAGAGCAGCCAATTCTGAAACTACCGGTAGATGGGCCAGCAGAAAGGGACACTGGGACACCATAGGGCAAAAGACACCGAAGCCCACCAGCATGTGGGCAGTGCAGAGCAGAATGTGTGTGCAAAGACCCTCAGGAGGGCTGTGGATTGCAGTGTCCTGGGGTGTCTAGAAGTGGGGGATGCAACTGGGGTTAGTAAAAGAAGGTTCACTGAAAGTCAGTTTAAGGTTTGGAGGCCCCCACACTAGCAGAATACTAGTGGTTAAACCACAGGCACCGGCAGAGAGGCACCAGGCATGTGGAGGGAGAGCAGAGGACACTGGCAGCCCTCATCTGAGTCTAGAGAGCCCTAGCACCATCCTCCCTGGCAGCATCAACTCTAGATCAGGCTGCAAGGGCCCTGCCTTGTTTTAGAGGACCCCAGACATCTCAAACCCTAAAACGCAAAATAACTGTGTTTTTATCTTTTCTCTCTCTCTCTTTTTTTCTTTTCGAGGTGGAGTCTTGCTTGAGTGCAAGACTAGACTCCAGGCTAGAGTGCAATGGTGTGATCTTAGCTCGCTGCAACCTCCGCGTCCTGGGTTCAAGCGATTCTCCTGCCTTAGCCTCTTGAGTAGCTGGGACTATAGGCACCTAACACCATGCCTGGCTAAATCTTTCTATTTTTAGTAGAGACAGGGTTTCACCATGTCGGCCAGGCTAGTCTCGAACTCCTGACCTCAGGTGATCCGCCTGCCTTGGCCTCTCAAAGTGCTGGGATTACAGGCATGAGCCACTGTGCCCGGTGTCTTTTCTGTCTCTTAAGAAAATATTTTGAAAGTCTGGTAATTGATTGAGTGAGTAGACCCTAATTGGAAAGAGATGATGTAGGGCTGACATCCCAGGGGACTGGCAGGTTGGGGAGAAGAAAAAGAATAGCCTGTGCTCTGGGAAACTGGAGATAAAGTTTTGAAATTTGGCCATCCCACACCATCTAAGTGGGATCTTGGCTGACGAGGCTCCTCAATTAACTGCAGTGAGGTAGTCTGGGAGCAGCTTGGAACTGCTTGGAAATCCCAAGTCTGAAAAGTGAGGTATATGGTGGGAGATCCTATCTACCACAGCTTCCTTGGGAGTCAGTGAGGTCAATCCGCATCCCTGGTTTAGGCACTGCAGTGGGTTGAATTGTGTTCTCCCAAAAGACATAGTTTGAGTTCTAACCCCCAGTACCTGTGAATGTGATCTTATTTGGCAATAGGGTATTTGCAGATGTAATTGAGGACCTCAGAATGAGATCATCTGGATTTAGGGCAGGTCCTAAATCCAATGACTAGTGTCCTTACAAGAGAAAGTAGTGGAAGGTTTGACATCCAGCAACACAGAGTAGCAAGGCAGAGTAGATGGCCATGTGAAGACAGAAGCAGGGACTGGAGTGATGCAGCCACAAGCCAGGAACACCTGGAGTCACCAGAGACTGGAAGGGGCAAGTAAGAAGTCTCCCCTACAGTCTTTGGAGGGAGCATGACCCTGTTGACACCTAGATTTTGAACTCCTGGCCTCCAGAATTGTGAGATAATACATTTTTTGCTGTTATAGCAGCCCTAGGAAACTAGTACAGGTACATTGAAACTTCCATCTTCCCTGTCCCAGCAGATCCTTGCTACCACTCAAGCCTGCAGCCAGCAGTGCAGGTAGGGAGAATGTGGCTACACGGGCCACAGGTGGACCTGCAGGCAGGGCTGTGAAAGCAGATCAGTTGATAAAACTTAGACATGTGGCATGAGGCCCTCCATTTGTGCTCTTGGCCTAGGCATGTTAGACATGGGCTTGCCCACTTAGCTGGTAGGCAGACATGCCCCTTACACACAGAATGAATCAATCTAAGCCAAGAGAACAGACCTATAGATATGGACAGTCCTTGTTCTCCCTATGAAAAGGCACAGCCAGGTCACCCTCCACTGAAGACTGTCTGTCAACAAGCTTTCCCTGGTAGCAATAACTTAACAGTGCTGTACTGTCTCACCTTAGATACAAGTGGACAATCAAACATCACAAGACATTTGAGACAGCAAAGAGTTCTGCACCCATGATGACAAGAACACTGTGCTTTAAAGAATATAGAAAAACAACCGAAAGCTCTTAGAAATTAAAAATAGGAAGACAGAAATAAAAAATCAAATGAAGAATTGAAGATAAATTGAAGAACTCAGAAATAATCAAAGAGATGGAAAACAGAAGAGAAAATATAAGAATATCAGAGAATTGGGCCAGGAAATCTCCTCATGTCCAAAAAAAAAAAAGAGTTCTAGAACCAGAGAAGAAGATAACAGATGGCAGGAAGTTTAAAAGAAATTATACAAGAAAATTTCCAAGGACTGAAAGATACCTGTTTTAAAAATGAAATACCCACCTAGTACCCAGCCCGATGGATGAAAAAGACCCATATTTTTGTATATCTACATAAAACAATCTGTAAGCTATAAAATGATAACACAGATTCATATTTACTGACATAGAAATATTTTCATGACATTGTTAACAGAAAAAGCATGCTTCAAAACAGTTGTGTATAATCTGAACCTATTTATGTAAATGTAAAGTTACATAAAGAGACATGTGGAATTAAAAAAGCCCAGAAGAATGGCTCCCAAGACATTAACAGGAATGTTCCATGGGTGATGATACATCCTGGGCATTTACTTTCTTTTTTATACTTCTTTACATTAAGTGTATTCTACATGAACATATGTCACTAAAAAGAACAATACAAAAGTAAGCTTGCCTCTGTCCTCTCTTTTATTCCTTTCCTTCTCTGATCAGTTGCCATGTCCTTTTTTCCTGTTCCAGCACTGTATTTGTATCGATCTCTTATATCTTTGTTTTGGCTAGCTAAATCTGTGTGAGCTCCAGATGTTTCTGAATGCCTCCTACATAGCCCCACTTGGGAATCTCTCTCTCAGATATGTGAATTAACCTGCCCTAAAATGAATATAGTTGTTTGCCCCCAAGCTGCTCCCACTTCGTGTCCCCCCCACCCCCTTCTCGGTTAACCGCATCCTGTTCTATCTATCCAATTGCTCAAAGCAGAAAAGCCTGGGGCATCATCCCTGCCCCTAACCAACTCTGTACCTCCAACCCACTACTCTCCTGTTGACCCTGCCTATAAATGCCTCACAAATGTGCCCCCTTCTCTCCTCCCCTATGGCTCCTATGCCATTCATTTTGTCATTCATTCAGCAAATATGGAGTGGTGCCTCCCGTGTGCCAGCCACTGGGTTAAGAGCTGGCATTCAAGGGTGAGAAAGACAAAGTGCCTGTTCTCATGAATAGGACCTTGTGCTCTAGAGGAAATGATGCACAATAAACAAGCAAACAAAACAACTGCCTAATGAAGTAAATTCTATGAAGAAAATAGAATGTGTGATAAAGAATAACCAGCAGGGGGCAAGGGCTGTCACTCCTTAGCTAGGGTGGCTAGGGGATGGAGGCCAGCATGCAGGGTGTTCCCCTCCTCTGAGGCCCTTGCCTTCACTCTCTTCCCTTTTCAGAGTGCTCCCATTAAAGGTAGACTGATCCTATTGTCTTTCTGTCTGAAATCCAACATGGCTCACAAGGCCCTGTATCCCATTTCAGCCTCCCTTCTCTCCACTGCCCCTGCACACACCCTCTGCTCCAGCCAAGCAGAGCTTTTCTGTCCCTGAATGCTCTCTGTCCACTCCCAGCCTCCATGCTGGGTTGCCTCATTTCTGCTCATCCTTGGATCCCACTTACTCCAGGACACCCTTTCAGTGAGGCCCCTCCCAGGATATCTACTCACCTTGAACATTGTTACCAGACTGCATTGTTGATGACTTATTTACTTACCTGAATCTGTAGGGGGCCAGGGCTGGCCTCATCCCCACACTGAATCCTCATGTCTGGCACATGGCACACTCCATGTGTTTGGAGACGGCCACCCCACGCCTGGAATTGGCTCTTATCATCTGTCACCTGAACTGCTGCCTCCAAACTGATTTCCCCACTTTCAACTCTTCCCTCACAAAATCCACCTGTTCGAAAAATCTTTCTAACCCAAGTGGCAAAGCCAGAACAATGAACTCAGAAACTAGTGATGCCCCTGGGCCACATGTGAGTGCCAGGTAGGAATGTTAGGTTTAGAGGGCTATATTCATTGGTAAGGAATTCATGTCACAAGGCAAGGCTGCATGCCTGTGGGTGCAGAGGAGGGGCTGTGTGTGGCCTACCCCAAAGCAGAGAGCAGTTTTGGGGAAGTGGTGGGTCCTCTCAGCTCTCAGGAGAGATCCGAGCCAGGAAAGCCAGCCTTAGACAAACTGAAGAGGGAACTCCTAAACCCATGCTCTCTGCTCTCTCACACTTCAAACTTAAGGAGTTTCAAACATACCTAACCAGTTGCAGGCTCAAAAGACCACAGGGGTTGTAGCAGGGGAGGTGGGAGATGGGAATAGGGAGATGGTGTTTGTCCAGTAAGGTACGCTGGAGTTAGGGTCTCACATCGTAAGGTTGTATGTTACTGTTCATTTATTCATTCCATATTTATTGAGGCCCTGCCATTTGCTGAGACTGTTCTAGATCCTGGAAATACAGGAGCAACCAAGGCAGACCACCTGGCTTGTCTGCTGGAGCTTTCATGCTGAAAGAGGTTCTTAGACAATCAAATACACACATAGATGTACTTCGGGTAGTAATAAGCGTGATGAAGGAAAATAAAATAGTGTGAGGTTCAAACTAAAGGGAAGCTATCAGATAATAGGCTGGTCAGTAACTACCTCTATTTTCCCTTTCTTATCCCCAGCTCTAGTAAAGTCAAGAAACCAGCACTTCTTGAACTTTGATGTGCAGATGAATCACCCTGGGGTCTGGCTAAAATGCAGATTTCAATTCAGTGGGTCTGGCATGAGAACTGAGACTCTGCATTTTTAACAGGCTCCCAGGTAATGCCTTGGCTGCTGGGCCCTGGACCACACTGTCTTGCCATAGGGATTAAGGGAAAAGCTGTGAGTCCCTCCTAGGGCAGCCTCAACAGAGAGGCCATACCTCCTGAGGGCAGCAGATTAGGCAGTGATGCCAGCCTTAAGGAAGAGCAAAGATCAGCAGCAAAGCTACCAGTACTAGATCCGCTGGCCCTCCTGGCATGCATTCGTCAATTCAGAACCTCCTTTTCGATGATCTGGGTTTGAAACCAGCAAGAAAGTCATGGAGTTTCATGATAAGTTTCCCCATTTCGTGGTATACAAGTCCCTCCACAGCCTAGCCCACCCTTATTTTTTGCTATAAGCATTCCTGACCCCTAGGTTTCTGCCAGTCAGAGTGGACAGTCCCCTCTCTCTGCCTTTTCCCATGGCCATCCATCCCAACATTAAAAATAATCTTCAAGCCATTTGGTACTGCTGTTCCCTCCATCTGGAATTCTCTGGCCCATGAGGTCAGATCCTGTTCATTCCCCAAAACCCAGCTCGAACGCCACACCCTCACGGGTTGGAGGAGAAGGGCGGTCAGGAGCAAGCCCTTCTCAGAAATGCCAGAGCTCTTTGCCTGAACCTATTTTGGGACACTAATCTCTTCCTACCCGCCCTATGAGTGATTTTTGTTGTTTAAGAGTTATTTTTGCCTTTAAGAGTTATTTTTGTCCTCATTTTACGGATGGGATTTGGGTTCCTCCAGGTAAGACCTACCCTCCTCCACCCCCAAACTCTCCTGGTACCTGGATGCAGCCTAAGAAGAATTGTCCTATGAATAAAGAATAAATTAAGATTGGGTTTGCAACTGACGCCAGCAGGAGTAGAAATGGGCTAGGTTGAGCACCAGGCAAGAGAAGCTGACGATCAGGGTACACATCTTGAATCAGAAATCCTGGACACAGACCAGCAGTCTGCGTAGTAACAGGTCCTCCGAGTGATTCTGAAGACACTCGAGTTTGAGAACCAGGGCGGTCTAGCCAAGAGCCTGGAGCACACCCCTTCCTCTCCCCAGGTGCTTATGACCTTGACCCTGGGTCCTGGGGACTTCTGCCGAGGAGGGAGGAGGGCACGGGCGGTCACTAAGGAAGGCGGAATTGGAAGGGGTGAGCCTGGAAGAGAAAGTGCAAGGATGCGAGGAGAGGGATGGAGCGAAGGAAGAGGATCAGAAGGAAGAAACGAAGGTAGCGGGGACCGCACAGAAGTGGGAGGGAGGGAGTGGAGGAGGGACTGGCACCCCTCGCGGTGGCATCTTCCAGAAGGTCAGCCGTCCGTCCCCACGTCCTTCCAGGGCTGATTCTCCCCGGTGGGGCCCGGGGTCTCGGAGACCAGTCTGTGCAGCCTGCCCGGCACCAGCGTGAGCCCCGGGACCCCAGCCTGGCGTCCCCCACGCCCGCGTCCCCGTCACCGGTACCTGCTCCTGCTGCGGGGGCGCCTCCAGCACCGGCTCTGCCTTCCGCGCGGCGGCCCCCGCCCCCGCCCCCGCGGCCATGCCTGCGCGCCTGTGCCTTCTCCAGCGCACAGCGCCTGCCGGGGAGGGTCCCGCAGAGTCCGCAGAAGTAGGCGCCCCGGGGCCGCTGGAGCCGAGGGTGAGAGCCGGATCTGCCGCGGAGCGGCGGCCCCGCCTGGGCTGTGCGGGGCGGGAGATGGGTGCCTCCCGGCGCGCCCCGCCTCCGCCCCCTGCACGCTGGTCAGCCTCCTCCCCAGCAGCGGCCTCGAGGTCGCCAGCACCCCCGGCTCCTTCAGGACCTCAGGCCTCTCTGTTGGGAAGCTATTCAGCCAGCCATCGCCGCCAGTAAGGCGTCCTGAACCCTACCGGGTGCGTGTGGCGGGAACCAGCGGTTTTGTTACCCGGCGGCAGGACTGAAGGAGGGGTCAGAAGTGGGTAGGGAGAGACGGGAGTAGAGGAGTGGAGTGAGAAATGGCGCTGGGGAGGGTGGTGGGGGGGGCTGGGGAGGAGCGGAAGAATGGGGAGGACTACGAGGGGGCCGAGGGGGGAGGGGGGGGAGAGAGAGGGAGGGGGGAGGGGGGGGAGAGAGAGAGAGAGAGAGAGAGAGAGAGAGAGAGAGAGAAAGAAAGAGAAAGAGTTTCCTCAGCTGTCTTCCTCAGAGGTGTTTATTAGGAGGCAGGAGTTCGGATGGCTGTGCAGATACAGACTTTCCTCAGTTATCTGTGCTTCCACCAAAGATGGTGCAGGAGAGAAACTCCAATTTAGGGAGAGCGCAGACCCTCTTGGCCCCTGTGCTGCTCCAGGTCATGTAGGGCCCCTGGGACGCAAGCATCTTGCCTTTGCCCCCCTACCTCCAGGGTTTCCCCTCCCCCTTTACAGCTTAGGCCTAAGCCTGGCTTCAAGGTTGAGAACAAGCTGGGACGTTTAGGCAAGACTTTAGAAATACCTCGGTGTTGATTTGGGGAAACAGAAAAGAGGAGCACGGAATTAGATCTTGTGTCCTACGAAATATGGCTTACTCCATTCCAGTGTGTGATGGCTCCTATTTGTCAACACCTACAAAGGAGATAAACGGACTAAGATGGACATTTCTCTGCCACTGTGGAACGTAGAGCCTAACAGGGGATAGAGAAAAATAAGCATCTAAGTACAATTATCACGGATGATGCCTTGGTTTTCCAGCCTTAACTGGGCATCAGAATCCCATGGAGGATTGCTGAGTTTGTTAAAACTCAGAGTGCTGGCCAAGCACAGTGGCTGATGCCTTTAATCCCAGCACTTTGGGAAGACAGGGCGGGCAGATTGCTTGAACCCAGGAGTCTGAGACCAGCCTAGGCAACATGGTGAAACCCCATCTCTATAAAATATACAGAAGTGAGCTGGGCGTGGTACACTTGTAGTCCTGTAGTCCCAGCTACTCAGGAGGTTGAGGCTGGAGGATCGCTGGAGCCTGGGAGGTTCAGGCTGCGTGAGCTGTGATGGAACCACTGCACTCCCGCCTGGACAACAGAGCGAGACTCTTTCAAAAATCAAAACAAAACAAAAACCTTCAGATTGCTGGAGTTGAGCCCTAGAGTTTCTAATATAGTAAGTCTAGAGTGGGGCCTGAGCATTTGTCTTTTGAACAAGTTTTCAGGTGCCGCTGGGGCTGTTGCCTACATCTGAAGACTACCTTGTAGCATGATCAGAATGTGTTGGAGTCATCAGAATGTGATGGAGAGAATAGGGGATGTGAGGGCCTGGAGGCTGGAGAAGGCATAATGAATTGGAGAAATAGAAATCATGGTTAACACTGATAGAATGCATACCATGTGCCAGGTGCCGACCTGAGCACTCTACCTGTGTTAGCTCATTCAGTCTTCGTGACAGCCCTGTGAGGTGGGCATTGTGACTGTCCCCGTTTTACACAGGAGAACACGGAAGCACAGAGAGGTCGAGAAGTTTGTTCAAATTTTGAAGCTAATAGGTGGGGCAGTGGGAATTTGAACCCAGAGAAAACTGACTTCATGGTCTGGGTTCTTAATCTCTCAAGGAAGTAGCTGTGAAGGTCAGCAAGGGCCGAATCTACCAGATCCACTTAAATAATATTAAACAGTTTGGACTGTAGCCTCAGGAGAATGAGAAGCCATTACCGAGTTTTAAGCAAGAAAATGACATTACCAGACTTGCCTTTTGGCTTCAAGAGTGGGGAAGAGGGCTATGACTATGACTCAAGACAGAGGGATCCGCCAGAAAGCTATTGCTGTAGTTTCAGCTCTCAGGATAACAGTGGCCTTGATGGTGAGAGTGAGTGTGTGCAGGGATGGAGTGGAGGGGAGATGGAGAGATGTGTTTGGGGATGGGAGAACTAGGTAATAGAATCTACTGTACTTGATTCATCTCCAAGCATGGTGCCCAGGCATGTGGCTCGGGCAGTGTAGCATTTGGGCAGATAGTGCTGCCATTACTGAGAATGGGAATATTGAAAGAGCAGCAGATTTGGGGACACAAAAATAGTGGGTTCATTTGGACATGTTACATCTCTACCCATCTTGTGGCCTGTGTTCATGTGGCAAGAGCCATTTTTTTTTCTCTCCAGCCCAGGATATCCTCACATTCATCTAGATTCTCCCAAGGCAGCAAAATAATAAAATGAAAATAGTCCATATGGAGATGGATGTTCCCTTCCTATAAAATTCTGACCTGTTATTGTTATATAAGTTTTAGGTCCCTGATTTGAAACTCTCTCTCCTGATTGATTGGCACCAAAAAGACCCACATACTTCACTGGAGACCCATGTACGTACAAAGGTATCATCTTCCTTCTGTCTTCAGCTCAGCAATCATATCAGAATAAAACTCAAAAAGTGCATTTCTCCCCTGTCAGTAATGATGGCTTTGCTCTAATCTATCCTGCTCTTATACCTGGTTTCTTCTATGATCAAATTGCAGATATTCAGAACGAAGATTTAATTTCCTAGTAAGTTAGGCAATGCTTTCTGGTGTAGTTCACTGAACCAAGGTTAATTAATTTGAAATTTTGTTTTCCAAATCAAATTGTTGGCGGCTGACTCTGTCTTCCATCCTGGAATAGATGAACTGTGTTCTGCTGCTTAACACTAATCTCTTCGGCATTTTAGCTGTAGTCTGTGCATCCTCCTTCATGTCCCGCAATCCGGAGTCCTGAGGTGGTTGTAATGATGCAATGGAAGAAATTAGCTAATGTGTTAAATGTGTTTGAGAAACAAGGTGGGGTCAAGAATCACTAGCCAGTTGATTGTGATATTTGGTGCAGGAATCAACAGACTCAAGGAACAGAATGGGCACATACATTTATGGAAAACTAGTTTTATGAGAGGAGTGGCAAATCAGCAGAAAAAAATTGATTATTTAGTAATCGGTTTATCCATAAGAAAAAAAAAAATTATATCATACCAGCACAAAACTGGTGGTTAGAAAGCAAAAGTTTAAGATGATCTAAAAGAATGTTTTTATGGTCTCAAGATAAGACAAGATACATTAAACAAGACTCACAGAGAACAAATTGCAAAGAAAAAAATGTTAGCCTATATTAAAATGAAAATTTTCTGTACAACAGAAACTTGCCATGAAAAAAGAGGCAAGCCACGAACCAGGATATATTTGTATATATCTCATTGACAAAGGACTAGTACTCAGAATAAGTAGAACTGCTAGAATTTAATTTTTAAAAAGCATAGATCAATAGAAATGAGCAAGGGATATAAATCAATTTGTATAAATAAAATTTATGAGACTTTAAAAATAATTTTAAGGGAATTAATGATTGAATTTATGAATATGTGGATTAATTCAGAGTACACACTTCACAGGAATGCTTGTATATGTTCGGTTACTCGTTTCGCTGTGGCTCCGTTCAGCCTTCCTACCCACAGACCACTCATCAATTTTCCCCCTTTCTCCTCCACTTTCTTGGGGCCACCAAACTACCTTGGGCCCATGGTGCCACCTAATGGTTAGATCTTGCAGAATTCCATTGTATTGCTTTGCAAATGACCTTTTTCAAGTCATTTCCTTTTTCAATTTGCTCCTTTCCTCTTTTCTTGTCTTTTTCATATTTCATATACCATATACAGATATCTCATGTCTTTTTCATATTGCCAAATAAAATGTATATTTGATCCTTAGCTTTAAGCTAGATTAAATGATTCAGAATGTCTCCAGCCAGATGCAGTGCTGGTCATATGTAGAGTAGGATAGCAGAGGGAGACTCCAGGCAACCGGCAAAACTTCTCTTCTGTGAAGGGGATAGCAAGTGAGAGGTTCATCTACACGGGGGCAGGGCTGGGAGGTGAAAATCCATCCAGTATGTGTGAATATCCAAGAGCTTGTCTGATCTCAGAAATCAGTATGAAAAAGACATCAAACTTTCTGGACTCCAGTGATTCTTGGGGCCAGGGTTGGATTTGTTATAAATAGGAAAAATCACCCAAGAGGGGAGGGATGCTGAAGCCAGGTCCCATTTTGACTGATGAAATAGCTGCATAGGAATGACCAGGCTAACTTCTTTTCAGTCATCCTAACCCTCCATTCCACCCCCGCCCCAAACTCCTTTCTGGGTGCTAGGTTGGTCTTCACATGCAGACACTAGCTCCTTAGAGTTGGCAGAAATCCTGCAAGTTGGTCTGATTACCAACTGTCAGGGTTTCTGACTTACAGTCCCAGTTTTCCTTGGCCCCTCTGCCTAACTGGATAGAGATTTTCATCTTCCTTTAGTTAAATCTGTTTTTGCCTAAGCACTAGTACTCAAAACAAATGAAAGACTTTTTAATCTCATCCTTTAATTATTAGTATTGTAACACTATTGATTTCCACTCTTTTGGACTAAAATGTGTGGTGTTTAGATATATCATGGTTACATGGCTTTTTGTGAGCTGGCTTGTAGCCCTAATTGCCATTGATAACATTGCTTCTATGGAAAAGTGCATTCTGCCTTTCAAACCACAGCCTTCCAAATGCACGTTTGGAACACAATTCATTTGTGAGCTGGGAACCATCAGTATTAATGTCTCTTGGCCCATGGCAGCCCCGCAACCAAATGACATGTGGTTTAAGGTTTGTGTAACAGCCGGTTCATTTAAATAATGTTAGCTAGGACTCAGCTTTCAGGTTCTCGGATTTCTGGTTAATTTCGAATAGAAGAGGCAGCAGAGTCGCAGCATTCAGACAGTGTATGCATGGTGCTCCCTGCTCCCTATTGAGTAAGGGCACATTCTTTCTTTTAATGGTTTACCCTGCAGGTTTTAGGATTGAGCCTCTTCCGAGGGCAAGCTTTTCAGTTCTGTTGAACAATTGATCTTGAAAAAGAAGAACTCCTTTTAAAAAACAACTATACTTTCAAGCCTGGAAGTTCAGCTAGGGTCATTCCAGTTTATTGAGTGCAGGGGCCCTCTCAGCAGGAGGGAAAACCACATTTAAATCCTTGATGGGGCTCCTTCTCCTCCCCTCTCCTTGTCTTCCTTTCCCCAGTGCCT